CGTCCGCTTACAAATTGGAGGTCAAAAGGCCTGACTGAATTCGTGTAAATAACATCTGAAACTGATGGTCACCGATTATCAACCGAAGTTTATTTGGACATTTAGGACAATTTCAATTTCCCTTTATTAAGGGCTCTCTTTCTGTGGGTGGGTCACGAATGCCGTTTTTATAGTCGAGCACACCCATAAAGTAACCAAACTGCAAGCTTCAGCGGTCTACTGATTGCCGACATATGCACAATTTGCGATTGATCCAGTATCAAAGGGGCCTTGACGATCGTACCCCTTATCGTGTGTGTAGTTTGTACGATAATCTACAAAGTACTTTTAGGAAAGCCGACCCATGTGAGGTTACAATAATGGACTCCTATCTTGGTCGGCGGACAGCTTTTGATCTTGTGGGTCAGTGCGCGTTTGATGAAGGGACGATCTGGTTGGCATTTTTACACCCGACTCGCAAACACCAGGGGAACCGGGGATTCTTAATGTTTACCTAACAGGAACAACCTGGATAATCAACCTGAGCAGTTTTAAGTTTTTTGCCATCCTGGCTAACTGCTCTCGAGGGTGGTTGGCCAATTAAGATCAGATTTAGTACTTGCTTGGCAAACTGGATTTGGTTTAATCTCTAGTCACAGTCGACTTTCCATTTGTAGTTGTTGGCAAATTCTAGAATTATTGTTCTTTGTTTCTAACATCCTCCTTCCCAAAAAAATTTGAAGCAGAAGATTACAGTCAACGTACTCCATATTTAAATTTGTGCATGGGAATATGGATCCCGTCTTACAGGCGGTCCTTACCTTACTGTCAGGCGTGGGTACAGTTACATTTAGGGCTAGGGGTATTAGGATGAGTCTTGTGGTCACGCAAATGTTCATGAGGGTTAGTCTTGGAGTTATGGTTAGGGCGTTTAAGGTCAAAATAAGGACACGGGAATAGGAATCTCCTGGAACCTAGTGCAAGACCACTTGTGACGCACGGGGGTCCATATAACCGTGTGTGACCATATTGTCTAACAATGCCAGGTCATACCAGAAGCTGCGCTTTTGGATGGGGCTCAGTGTTTTCATCCACTTAGCTAGGTTAAATTGAAAGCATTATCTTGAATCCAAATATAAATTTTTCGTTTTGACTTCTTAAGATAACCTGGCGTTCAACGCAAATGCGATCCTGTGTTTGCAGTCGGTCTTTTAAACTTCGCTGAGGTTCATAGAATGCGGAGTGTAGGAGTTGACCCGGACACCACAGCTATATCTTGCTAGGGAATAAGGAATTTTCGAAAGTTTCAAACGGACAGTATAACACGTACATACCCATAGGTGTGTCCGGCAAATATACATACAACGGAATATAACTAAAATCAAATAAAAAGCAAGAAACCTTATTTCCCACATTTTTTCACGACGGTTCCCAGATAGTTGACATCTTTATGGTAAATGTCTAAAATACTTTACTTTAAAAAATCCCTAAAACGCCATAATATTCCTACCCTATGCACCAATAGACACTTGTTTCGACAGTTGTTCGATGTATGTCATTATTTGGTATCGACTGCTTGCCGTCTCCTTCGTTTCTCTGGGAGATTGTCGTGTACAGTGTCCAAATCGGTAGGGGTTTTGATGCATTATTCATATTAAAATGTCTTTCCGAGAAATTGTGCACGTCCCATCCGATGCCCAGGCGTGAAGAATGCCAGTTAGTTCCCATGTAAATGTGTGCCTTTTGCCGATAGAAGCGAACAGGCGAGTCCCAGGTAGCAGTTCAGAAGATGAAGATGCGATCACTGGGACAAGAAGTTTATTTGCCTGACGTTTCGGATTCTCACTCGAATCCATCATCAGAGACATTCGCAGATAGAGGTGAATGTGGCACCAGGAGTGCAGTATTTATAGCACGTGGCTGCCGTAGGACCGTATGCGCGCTGCAATTAACAGTTCTCACAATCGCCGCTGGGGTCGTAATTGATGCGGCGGTGGCTTGGCGGTCCGAGTCCGAGTTGTTAATTGCCGCGATTTCGTCATCCGTGCTCGATGCTGGTGTGACGATTGCTCGGCAAACTGGCTCACTGTCACCGTGATAATTGCTCACCCGCGCCCTCCCCACGTGACTGATTCTCCTGCCCAGGGAAAATCGCAATACGCAATAGGGCACCGGGAGGTCATTGTGTTTGTTAATGGATTGCGGGCCTGAGAACCATGACTCGAGCAGCTCGCGGCTCACGCGGTTGTCACCTCTTGCGAGGATTTCGGCCTCTTGAAATTTGAAAATATGGCCGGGTCCCGTCGAGTGTGCCGCCACCTGAGAGTTAGCGTCTCCCCGCCTCACTGCTGCTGCGTGCTCGGCAAGTCGCGTACGGAGTAATCTCCCAGTTTCTCCGACATAATTGCTTTGTCCGCAACTACACCAGATCCGGTAAACGACTCCTGACGTTTCCTGCCGTGGCAGCGGGTCTCTTGGCCTCATTACTTGGCGCCTAATGGTTGCTTCCGGCCTGTGTGCAACCCCAACTCCAAGTGGAGTGAGAAGACGACTGACGGCTTCCGAGACGTTCTTCACGTACGGAAGAGCCCGCCAAAATTTGGGGCTAGTTGGATTTGGTCTCTGGTGTCCTTTTCGTATGCACTGGTTGACAAAGTCGCGCGGGTAGCCATTAGCTCTCATTACCCGTCGAAGATATTGTAATTCAGCAACCTTGTCTTCCATTTCACTGCAGTGCGTCTCAACACGCCGGTATAGCGCCCTTACGCAACTGCGTTTGTGACTGATCGGGTGGTTGCTATTGAAGTTCAGTATTTGCGTCGTAGTTGTCGCTTTCCTGAACACTTTGGTTTTTAGGCCACCACAATCTTTGCGGAAGACGAGGACATCCAGGAAGGCCAGCTGATTGTTTTCCTCCTCCTCCTCCTCCATCGTAAATTGAATGTCCGGGAAGACGGCGTTGAGTTGTTCTTTGAAAGTCAGCACCTGATCCCGTTCGATGACGACGAAGGTGTCATCCACATACCGAGCCCAGAATTTCGGTCTGTGGTGTCGGAAAACCAGCGACTCCAGCCGTTGAAGGACCGCCTCGGCTATGAGTCCCGAAATCGGCGAACCCATTGGCGTTCCCTTCACCTGCTCGTAGATTGTTCCGTCGAATGTAAAGTACGTCTTGAGACAGAACTTTAGGAGCTGGATGATTTGGGCGTGTCCGATTTTCTGGATTCGAGTGAGAATCCGAAACGTCAGGCAAATAAACTTCTTGTCCCAGTGATCGCATCTTCATCTTCTGTGTGCCTTTTATCCAGACTAGGTATTTCTGCTGAAGGCTAGTGTGTCTCTTAACTACTAGCCAATGCTTATGTATGCGGACCCACACGGATTTTTCAATTTCAGCGTAATGCACTGCATGCCTTTTTACAGACAACTTCTTTGCTATCCAGATTGCTCACCCTATTATTACGGCCTAAAATTCAGGCGCGTATCAATGTCGGCAGTTTTGTATCATTTGGCTTTTATGTTTTCTCGAGTGTCTTTCAACAAAACACCCTCTCAGCATGTGTAAGAGCTCGCCAGCTCTCTGGTCAGAGTGTCCGGTCAAATTGTCTATTTCATCGTTAGGTTCGTGCTGTCGCATGTACTGACATACAAAAGAATTGTATGCTACTCATCTTGTGAGAATGGCTGGAATTGGTCATTTAGTCTTACTAAATAATTTTTTCTTTTCGTAATGCTAACTTTTAGATAGACAGAGCTGGCTGCTGACAGCGCTTGTTTTATGTGATAATTAATAATTGCCTATGCGAGAAGGATTTGAAATTTTTCAAACCGACATGCTCAGGTAGGTCATGCATTTATTGGTATGTCCAAATGAGCGGCGTGTGCTAAAATCTCAGGGAGGAATGAAAGAGGTCAGAGCCACCCCAGACGGGATGATGATTTGCGCGAACTTAATATGGCGCAAGTGTCAACTGATGTCAAGCATGGACATTTCTTGGCTCCTTAGTGATGTTCAATAGCAACTTAATTAGCACATTTCCCAATGACCAATGGTTACTCGCGCAACTTTGTCAACCAGTGCATACGAAAAGGACACCAGAGACCAAATCCAACCAGCCCTTAATTTTGGCGGGCTCTTCCGTACGTGAAAAACGTCCCGGAAGCCGTCAGTCGTCTTCTCACTGCACTTGGAGTTGAGGTTGCACACAGGCCGGAAGCAACCATTAGGCGCCAAGTCATGAGGCCAAAAGACCCGCTGCCACGGCAGGAAACGTCTGGAGTCGTTTACCGGATGTGGTTTAGTTGCGAACAAAGCAACTATGTCGGAGAAACTGGGAGATTACTCCGTACGCGAATTGCCGAGCACGCAGCAGCAGTTAGGCGGGGAGACGCTAACTCTCAGGTGGCGGCACACTCGACGGGACCAGGCCATATTTTCAAATTTCAAGAGGGCGAAATCCTCGCAAGGGGTGACAACCGCGTGAGCCGCGAGCTGCTCGAGTCATGGTTCTGAGGCCCGCAGTCCAGCAACAAGCTCAATGACCTCCCGGTACCATATTCCGTGCTGAGATTTTCCCTGGGCAGGGGAATCAGTCACGTGTGGGGCGCTGGCGAGTGAGTATCAGTGACAGTGAGCCAGTATGCAGGGCAATCGTCACACCAGCATCCAGCACGGATGACGAAATCATGGCAATAAACGACTCGGACTCGGACTGACAAGCCACCACCTCATAAATTACGACCCCAGCGGTGATTGCGAGAACTGCTAATTGCAGTGCGCATACGGTCCCACGGCAACCACGTGCTATAAATACCGCACTCCTGGTGCCACCCTTGCCTTTATCTGCGAATGTCTCTGATGATGGATTCGAGTGAGAATCCGAAACGTCAGGCTAATAAATTTCTTGTTCCAGTGATCGCATCTTCGTCTTCATAGATGAATGTTTTTTGAATGAGGCAAGTTGCATTCGCAACGAATTTCTTTGAATGCATGTAGACATATGTAAATAACATGTGTAGTGGTTGTTTGGCCGTAATTAAAAGCAGATCTGTGGATGCATCACTCACCTATAACTTGAGCAGCACCTGCATTGAGAAATCAGAAATGGCATCAGATCGCGTATAATTACTTCGTGAGCGCGGTCGCCCGAGTGACATTAGACTATGAATATGGCGGTTTTGACTTAATTAACCGCCCCCGTTATATCTCTGTAGGTATTTTGTTAAGCGCCATCCCTTTTAAGACTTCTCTTATGTAATAAAGACGTACCAAGACCACCATAATTCGCTGTCGGGTGTCCGAACCGTTTACTCAAGCTCAGATTTCTTAGCTAAGTCTTCGAACAAGAAATTTTATTCGCTTCTGTGGATATCGTTGCAAATTTGTACTGGGGTTCACATGTTACATTTACGGCAGGGGCACTAGAAAACAAACCCCGCAAATGCAAGACTGAAATGGATTCTGTACCAGTCACTCAATAAAGTTTGCAACATAACCATAACTTCTGACCCATGACTGTCTTTTAAAAAACCTTGTTATAGTGAGCCAATGTGTAGAATCAGTGTCATGAAAATCGCATGACTGCTTATTGCAGGCAGCAGACAAACTGTGGATACAGGGGATCATAGGTAAAGTTAGTCCCGTCTAGATGCAAAAGCCGAACAATCTGGGAGTTTGTCTGCATAAAATATGTCGTTAATACCCAGATGCCTGATAATTTGATATTTGTAAAAAAGGAGAACTCTTTTTCTGAAGTTATATCATCAACAATAACTTTGGAAGTGATTTTTATGTCCAATCCGTCCTTTCCCTCCTATGATTCCAGTACCTGAATCTGCGCAGCTACTTCTATTAAAAGGTTCATCGTATTTTCTGGACTTAGTTGTTTTGTTTAATGTCTGTCGAGCTAATTTGAATGACAGCAGCAGAGACTGACGAAATCATCGATTATCGCGAATGGTCAAAGAGGTTTCGTCCATTTTCTGGAAGACACGCCATGCCATTTTTCGGAAACGCATGTTGTCGATAGTGTTCATCTGGGAAGATTTCTTATGAAAAGGTTGGATGTGGCGTTCGCAAAGTCTGTTATTACGCGGGTTTCAATGACGTAATTCATCCTAACTTCTCAATTGAGTCAAAACACGAACATATTGCCTTATCAGTTTAACATCTAAATGCAGCCAAAAGTCTTCAAACAAGAAGCTTTTGAAGTCCGTCACTAAAATAGGCTTACTTTATATCTTGCTGAATAATGAAAATGAGTACAACACAATTGTCTTTCGAATGTTTTATTATGCTTGTATATATTAGGCGAATTTATATAATTTCTAGGTCAGGCATATTGCTTTTGTCGGTTTAAGATCCGGTTCCGTGACCTGGACAGTTTGGTCAAGTTATTTCCGGAGGCCTCATAAAGGCGACTCATTTGGTAAATTAACACGAAGGATTAAAGGTGGCCTAACGATTACTTCGCAATATCATGCGTTTGTGTAAAGGATAGACTTTGACTACCTTTTATCGGTACGTTTCTGTTAGAAAATGAGCTTCAGACTTCTTGTTTGTTATCTTTCTTTCAAAAAGTGGTTTTAAATCCTGTAGATTGGTAGGAAGCGTTCACGATCGTTTTTACGGAACTCACTCATCCCGTTGTGCCTCAAGACTCCTCGAGCCCAACAAGCAGCTGCACAGCGGCGCATGATATAAGCAGAATAGCGTTACAAAGATAAGAAAGACTAGAATGGCCATTTCTGGCTCATTAGCCGACGTCAGTCAGCCATACGCAGTCCCAAAGTGTTCAATACCTGGGACTTTATCCTGCCACCTGCTGACTGGAAGTCCAACGCCTCTAACTAATGAGCCATGGCTTGTTGTTATGTCGATTGCGATCGAGAATATACAATGGTAGAGGAGAGCTCACTGATAGTTTTTTCGAACTCACTCGTCTTCGCAGCCGGCAGGACAACGGACCCCTGGTCCAGTGGTTAAAGGTGTTGAAATACTGGCCATCAGGTGGCAGGATCGAGCCCCAGGTATTCCACACTTCGGGGTTAGGCATGGCTAGCTGGTGACGGCTAATAAGCCAAAAATGGTCGTTCCAGTCCCCCTTGTCTTTGTCGGTAATATTATCCTGTAGATCGCCTCAGGATCTTACAACTTTCGGGGGATTCAAACTGCGCGAGCCACCTACTTTACCTGTTGGCTGAAAGGTTAATATGTTGCACTGAACTTTATTCAAAATAAATGTCATAATCCCTATTGGCTTGGTTTTATTACATAGTGTTCCTTTGACCAATATCTCCTCGCATTCTCGAATTGCGGGGAAACATTTTGCAACTGCCAGAATGAGATAAAACCTCGAAAATTCCTCCGAACTTGCTAGGTCTTTCGTTTATTCTCCCCAAACGCGATAGATAATCTCTTCCCGATAGCAAAGGCGTTCTATGCCTAGCACACTTGCGGTGGTTTTAAAATATCCCCAGGCTTCATCTGAGAAGTGAGTGATAGCATAAATCCCTTGCGATTTTCTTCGCTGCATGTGACACCACACATTTAGATAAGCACTTGCACCTACCCCAAAGACTAATTCAAAAATTTTGTCAAATGTAACGCGATGGTCGAAGATCGTTTTTTTCCTTTACAGCAGATAGGTTGGTTGCAAAATTAGGTCAATAAAGTGAAGTTTCTGCCATATAAAACATGTCACAATTTTGTAAATATTGTAAGACCGGTTTTGGAACGCTGGGGTTTCAGAAACTGTCGCCGCAGTTCTTGATAATGTATTACATTTATTTTGTTAAAACCTTCCAACCATCAATGTCATCATCTTTTCATTTCTTATTTGATTTATTATACATGTATAATGCCCAAGCACACGTTGTTGAAGTACAAATCAAATGTTTGACATTGTTTTCTGCGGGACATGCAGTGCTGTAATTGGGCAAAATATGGTTGCGGATAGTTTATTAGGCTATTGTATTGCCTAGACTATTGTATTTTTTTGAAATTCCAAAGAAAACTACATGATCATTTCATGCAATAGCTCAGTCAGAAATGTTAGTTAAAGTCACTTTTTTGTTCATTTGCTTCGTATAAGTTATGCAAAACAAAATTTCGCATTCCT